CGTGCTACTGAATGTTCAAAGCCAGTCTGAACCTGTATGTTTTAAATCTGGTCTAAACAGCATAGTGATCTGAATGTCAGGAGGTCATTTGCTCCAGAACCTGGACCCAGACTCAGAAGACCTTTTCATCCTCCTGGTGTTTGTACCTCACTCTGATCTAGTTACTTCAAAAAGACTTGTTTAAATGACCTTAAGGTCTTAGTTGGGTTCTGAATGTGCATGAGGCTCAAGAGTATTAAAGGCTTAAAAAAAGCAACATTTTAGAATGAGTCCTAAAAGGACCTGGAAGCCTGTAAGAGAAAAATGGGCTGTAATAAAGATGATCTGCTAAGCATTGTCCATTTCCTTGACTGAATTAATTTGAAGGACTCTATTACAAAAACATTGATAATATGAAAGTGGTAAATGGACTTTTATTCTCATTTAAGTGCAGTAACTGGACTGAACATGATGTCCTAAATAGCTTTATGGTCCTATAGGACAATCTCATAGCTGCTTTGGAAAATCTCTGCTGACATCTAGTGGACATCTGAGCACATTACCAGATGTGCATTTAGTTGTTTTTAAAAAAAAAAAAAAAGCTTTTAAGAAAAGCATCACCATCTCTCCTGGATTTCCTTGTTCTCCCTTTTCTCCTTTCTCTCCTGGCTTCCCCTGTAAGTGCAGGAAAGGACAACGAGCTCAGGAATAAAGACAAGATGCTGAGGTAAGCAGATCATTAAGAAAGCACTGCCTTATTACCAATAAAACATTAAGAAAACATTTAATTTTGACCTAAAAATAGTACTAGCTTAAAATTAAAGCATAAAGTTAAGGCAGAGAAGTATTTTCTGATTAAAAAAAAAGGGTCTACTCACTGGTTCTCCAGGCTCAGGGATTACGTTCGCAACCTGCCAACACAACACATCAACAGTATATGGTCAATTAAACTGCAGTCTGCTACAGGGCTGTAAATGGTGTAGTGTACATGGAAAACAGCTGGTACTCAACTCACATCTCCTGGAACCCCAGGGAGTCCTCTCGGTCCAACTTCACCCTGAGGCAAGAGACGCCATGTTCACAGATTCTGCATTTAAATGTCCTCAGTTTGGCCAACAATGCTGGGCAACCACCACAGCCATTTTGAACAGTTTATCAACATTTACCTTGTCACCCTTTTCACCTTTTGGCCCAAATCGTCCCTCTGTTCCTTTTTCTCCCTGTATGTAAAAAAGAAGAAGCCATAAACATGTTTTCTACTCATTTCCTGAGCTGTTTTTATAGTTTGACCGGTTATAGCCACAGATTTTACAATATTTGACCTCAGTTTATCAGTTAGACGAAGGCATGGTTGCCCACCTACACCAGGGGTCTGCAATCTTTAAAATCCAAACAGTCATTTTGACCTGAGTCTGGCTGAGTTAAAGGCATTTAGAGCCGCAAATATTTTATAACCTTTCAATAAAACTAATCTTATTGTTTTTTTGTTACAGTATATACCTGATGTAGGAAATCTGCTGACATGTCCAACAACCAACAATTCATTTGTATATTCAGCTTTTAAAAACTAAGAAAACACAGAAAACTTCATAAAGATGTACCATGGGTGTTTTATCGTAGGATATTATGTGATACAAACAAACAATTTACAAAAAAAACAACATGATTTCCAAGCAAATGACAAGAAAAGTAGATCTAAAAAACAGATTTTTGTTACTTTGTTGTGAAGATTCAAATATTATTTGAAATACACAGCAAAGCTTTAGGACCAATACATTAGCTGCCTCTGTGTATCATTTTAGGCCACTAATAAAGGCCATTGTAGAGGCTACAAAGAGCCAGGTGGGCCCCGGAGCTGCAGTTTAAAAACCCTTTATTTACCAATAGGCTTGCACTGGAAAAAAAATCAAAATCTAGATCAGTCATTTTTCTTTAAAATAAGTGCATTTGTTCTTGAATTTAGGAGGTAAAAGATACATTTTGCCAATGGAACAAGACAATTTACACTTAAAATACCTAAACACAATTGCATTGTCTTATTTCAAGTGCATTTTATCGAATTATCTTATTTTAAGAGTAAAAATACTCATTCCATTAGCAGATCATCTTATTAACCTGCTCAAATTAAGGGTAAATACAATTTACTTATTTCTAGATTGTTTTTCCAACGTAGCAAGAATAGCATCACACTGGAAAAGTCGAAGTCTAGATAAGTCTTTTTTTTTAATTAGTGCATTTGTTCTTGAATAGAGAAGGTAAAAGATACATTTTGCCAATGGAACAAGACGATTTACATTCAAAATAAGAAAACACAATTGCATTGTCTTATTTCAAGTGCATTTTATCAAATTATCTTATTTTAAGAGTAAAAATACTCCATTACATCGGCACGTCATCTTATTGAGAGTAAATACACTTAATGTAAGACATTTTTTACCTATTGCTAGATCGTTTTTCCAGTGCAGACAGGCACCTAAGAATCCCCACACTGCAAAAACGATCTGAAATTAAGTAAAAATTTCTTAAATCAAGTGTATTTACCCTTAATTTGAGCAGGTAAATAAGATAGTTTGCCAATGGAATGAGTATTTTTACATTTAAAATAAGATAATTAGATAATATGCACTTGAAATAAGATAATGCAATAGTTTTTTCTTATTTCAAATGTAAATTGTCTTGTTCCATTGGCAAAGTGTCTCACTTACCTCCTCAATTCAAGAAAAAATGCACTTATTTAAGAACAAATGACTTATTTAGATTTACATTTTTTGCAGTGATGGTAACTCTGAAGGACAAAGACTACAAAGTCTACAAAGACTCACAGCTCAGGTGGGAGAACCTGTCTGCAGGATAACTAATAGTATTCAATTCCACAAATGATTTTTATTAAAGCACATAAAGAGAGCTGCTATCGAAGAAGAAAACAATGAGAAGTCCCATCTGCAGTTTGCCACAAGCCTGGTAGGACAGCGGAAACATCATAACAAGATGATTTCATCAGATTGGACCAAAATGTTACCTTTTTGGCCTGATGAGAGGCTGTGTGTTGGGAAATAAACCTGCACCACAAATACATCCTCCCCATAATGATACATACTGCGATGGCATTATGTAGTGGGGATGCTTTTCTGAAGCAGTCATTGGGAAACCACGTTCAGAGATGACAAACGCATAGATTGATCTAAATTATGTGGATAAATGAGGAAAAACTTGATTGTTTTCCAATTGTCAGAGATAAATTGGAACAGTTTAAAATCCTTGAAGTGATTTTATATACGGCTTGTTTTTTCTTCTGCATGTTGTCATTCATTATGTCTTTGGTCCAAAGTAAAAAAAACTACCAAGCTAAGCTTATAAGCTATTATTGATGTTTTAGTGACCAGATTAACTGATGGGAGCCTCATAACTATTCTTTTGCATCATAACAAGTAATATTTCACCCAGTGTTAAAGAGAATCTATCCAAGTACAGAAAAATAGGTCTGTATTTGTGTATGAAACAATCATTTAGATTTGAATCGTTATTTTGATGTTGGTTCCTACCGGAATTCCTCTCTCTCCTCGAGCTCCATCTGCACCTGGTTGACCAGGGGAGCCAGCTTCTCCCTTTAAAAAAGTCACACAACATCATGGACTACTTCCCTTTTTAACTATAAGAATGATAATTCAGAAAGAGGGGATGCAGGTCTGAACTTACTCTCTCCCCAGGAGGGCCCCGTGGTCCAGGAGGCCCTTCGTCACCCTAACGATAAAACATATAGCCATTGAAATGTTAGCTTTACATGCAGAGATTGAAGCCATCTCCCAGGTTTATGGGTGTTACAGGGTTGGATTAAGAAGCAGTACCTTAGGTCCAGGCTTGCCAGGAAAACCATCTGCTCCCCTTTCTCCTCTGGGTCCCTTTAAGGATACAAGATCATTAAGAGATCGTCAACCGAATTAAACAAAAAGAACATTTTGGTGATGGAAAATATGTCAAAGGGACTTTGAGATTAGAAATGCACCACTTTTTTATGTTTAAGATGTCTTCTTTTTTCGTGTATCTGTCACATTTAGATGTATCATATCATAAAATAAAAGTTTGTATTTGTAGGAGTAGCTCAGGTCATCATTGTTAGGACTCCTGTCTGTGTGTCTGTGTTTGTCTCACTTCATCCACCAGGAGGCGCCTAGCTCTGGTCCGCCTCCTCAGACACCTGCTGATTGTTTCCTCGTTAACGGAGCATTTTTAAGCTGCTGTTTCTCCGTTCATCTATAACAACCGCTTTCTGGGTAAACCCTGTTCCGCCCTCCACTGAATCAGACAAACACTGGAACTACAGCATACAGACTGGAGTCAAGGATTCAACAACTTCTATGGAAACGTGAGTCAGCAACCAAATCTTCTTCTCCAAATTCACGAGTCAAATTTCCCACTGAGCCTGAACTAACCGCTGTGTCTTCCCCTCACTTTTAAGTGAGGGGAAGACACAGAGCAACACTTCTCTCTGAATTATCTCTTCAATAAAACCTGTTAAACCTTTTCCCTGGTCTCCCTGTTTGGTCTTCTGCATTTGGGTCTGAACCTTAGTAAACTCATGACAATCATGAGCTTTTTCTACTGTTATGCTGCTATCGGCTTAGGCTGCTGGAGGACATAGGGACCACTTTTCATTTTTCTGCATCAATTTATCTCTAATCTCACATTCTGCAGTGCTTTTTAGTTCCTAGTCTAACTGTATGTTGTCTCTGCTTTTACTAATCATAGTAGTCTCATCTGATAGATCCGTGTTTGGCGGTGACACATTCATTAAGAGAAATATCAGCTAGGCAATTTTTATGCAAGTTTTGCCCATTTTTCAGTGCTTATTCCTGTTACTCTCCTAGACATAGATCTTGGATCAACTTTCACTGTAACCTACACTATGTGCTCTCTTTCATCACTTTGACAGGGAAACTGACTGAAACTTGACTGTTTCTTTCCCAGACAGAGCCAACTGTGGAGAAAGTTTATAGTTACCTTTCTCAACGTAGAAAGTATTTAAGGAGCGATTCTATTTTTGTACATCTCTTTCTGTCTCCTTGAACCCCCAGTAAGCCACTGGAAAAGGCTGCTTATACTCTTGGAAGTTTGTTCTAGTTAGATTTTTTCCTGTTCATGTCACTGCATGGATGCTCATGGTGAGGGATTGCTGTAGAGTCAATGACCCAATGCGAGCTAATATCTACCATCTCTACATGCTCATTCAGGAGGAAAGAACTCTGCAAAGTCAATGACTGGATGCAATCAGCTCTTTTTTCTTAGATAGAACACTGAACCAACATAATAGGATGACCTGATAAATTGTCTCTGTTCCTTGAGATGACTTGTGAATTCGTGCTACAAAAAAAATAAACTGAATTGAAGTGAATATAGTTTTGAAATCATGATTTCACCTAAATGATCTAAACAAGATTCCAATATCTTCCTAATCCTTAACAGTTACTTTTGCAACCCTTGGTGAGGCAAACTGCCAACAAGGGATTACCAACTAACAGTAGACTTGGAAGTGGCTCTGGAGGACTCTTGGATCACCATTTTGCTAAATAGTTTTCAATCGACCCACAGTAGAAGGTGTAAACTATCTGATTATGGTCCTGGCAAAGCCTCTCAAAGGGATTTTAGTCTGAAATTTGACCAGGCAACTTAAAAATTCTGCCCTTTTCTTTTCTTTGATCCATCAAAATATGGCCTTTTTGGTATCCTCGGATCATTGCCCTGCTACAAGATCAAATTTTGTCATGATCTTGGCGCTAATGGTTTGGTTTTATCCTTTGCTCCTTGCTCCCCTGTCTAATTGGTTCTGCGGCTGATTATCGCCGATCATTTTCACCTGCTTCCTCTACTATTTAGGTTGTGTGTTTGCCATCAGCGCCAGGTTATTCGTGTGTTTTTGTGATACGTTCCCATTCTGTAGTCTGCCTGTTTTCCTGATTTT